AAGGAGGTCGAAAAGTTGAACAAGGATGGGGAACTTATGGTTCGATTAGGTTCTCAGATTCCGGCCATTATGCTGAATGAAGTAGATCCACTATATCTCATGTTTGGTCAAGACGACATCATGACCTCCTACTATGAGGAGGTGTTGCATGAGGGTGACGCCACGGAGAACGTCGATGCATATTTATCCCTCCTCGGCGAAAACTACAGCGATCTTGAGATTCTAGAGGTAGGTGCCGGAACAGGAAGCTTCGCTCGACTTCTTTTGAATATTCTCGCGCCAAGGGCTGAGCAGGGAAGCACAGATAGCACAAGTACAGTTGCCCAGTACACCTTCACTGATATTTCCCCTAGCTTCTTTTCCAAGGCAAAGGAAAATCTAAGCGAATGGACAGACCTCCTTATATTTGAGAAATTAGATATTGAACGCGACCCAACAACCCAGGGCTTTACTGCCAAAAAATACGACTTGGTCATTGCGCACAACGTGCTGCATGCTACACCAGACCTAGGGAAGTCTCTCGAAAATACTCAACGTTTGTTGAAGCCAGGTGGCAAGATCTTGGTCCATGAAGTGGTCAGGCCTGATATTGTGTGGCCTTCACTTATATTCGGTCTTCTCTCTGGCTGGTGGTTGTCCAATGAACCCAATCGTAAATGGTGTCCTCTCATCACACTTCCAGAATGGAATGACCTTCTTCGTCAGAAGGGATTTTCGGGAGTTGAAATTGAGATCCCCAATTCGCGATATCCTGAGTTTGTAAAGCTCAGCACAATGATTTCCTCAGCTGTCCCAGATTCTTCCGACCATGGCAGGCCCGGAACTGATGTGGTGATCCTTACCCCTTCGTCCGATGCTGATCACGATTTAATTCACAAATTAAAAGTTGAACTTGCGCAAAACGCTGGAGTTACCAGCTGCACTGTCATGCAGCTACATGAGTTCATGGGAAAAGATATATCCAACGTTATCTGCATCTCTCTTTTAGAACTTGAAACCCCCCTGCTGCTTGAAATTTCTGAGGACGACTTCAAGAACCTGCAACAATTATTTTCAACATGCAAAAGATTGTTGTGGATAACGGGAGATCCGGCCGCCCAGCCGGCGTTCAATATGAGCACCGGCATGATTCGCACACTTCGATGGGAACACGATGCGGACAGCCCGAATTTTGTTACCCTCGGACTCGGTGATTCCAGTTCTTCCCCTTCTAGATCAGTCGTCGATTTGGTGTTGAAGATACTCCGATATCAATTCAACAGTGGACAGACGAAACATCAAAACTCCGAGTATATTCTGCGGAATGGGTTGATTTACGTTAACCACATCCTTAATCATCCTAAGGCAACCGGTTTTTTGCGTTCACAATTTTCGACTCTTAGTCCCGAGATGGTACTGTGGAAGAACATTAGATGTCCAGTCAAACTGCAGAACGGCACTCGGGGAGTGCTCAACAAACTGCAATGGGTGACTGACACATCCTCTACCTTGCCGCTAGGAGACTCAGACGTTGAAATTGATGTTCGCGCTGTAGGGCTCAACTTCGTTGACCTTTTAAGTATAATGGGCGAAGGAGTGGGGGATGTTGTTGGGAGAGAGGCAGCCGGCATCGTGACCAAGGTTGGGCCATGTGTTAGGCATTTGCAGGCCGGCGATCGTGTGGTCTACCTCACCGAATCGCCAAAAAAGGGGACTTTCCACAGCCATGGCAGAGTCAATGAATCGCTGGCTATCAGAATGCCGAACAATATGAGTTTCGAAGTTGCTGCAGGCCTTCCAGTTATTTACGCTACTGTCATCTACAGTTTGACAAATGTAGGTAGACTTATTGCCGGAGAAAAGATTCTCATTCACTCCGCAGCTGGTGGTGTTGGCCAGGCTGCCATTCAGTACGCTCAGTACATTGGGGCTGAGATTTTCGCAACTGTCTCGACCATTGAAAAGATGGAGTTTCTCAAGAACGAATACGGCATCCTTGAAGATCACATTTTCACAAGCCGAGACACCAGCTTTACTCAAGGAATCATGAGAATGACTAACAATTCCGGTGTTGATTTGGTTCTCAACTCGCTTTCTCAAGAGTCTCTTCGGCAATCCTTTGAATGTGTTGCGCCATTTGGTCGATTTATTGAGATTGGGAAAAAAGACTTGCAGGCCGGCGGAAAACTGGACATGACTCCCTTCCTTCAAAATATCTCGTTTACTGGAGTGGATTTACTTACTCTTGCGGAGTCCAGACCAAAAGTTGTGCGAGAGCTTCTCAAAACGACCATACGCCTGTGGGAAGACAAGAAAATCAAGGGGGCCTATCCACTAACAACCCTGGGTTACTCTGAACTTGAAGATGGCCTTCGCATGTTGCAGTCCGGCAAGAATATTGGCAAAATAGTGTTCGCACCTAACGAAAAGGACATTGTCCCCGTTATCCCTGAGGTCAAAACTCCCTATACATTTGAGGCTAATGCGTCTTATATACTCGCTGGGGGTCTTGGGGGGCTTGGGAGAAGCTTGGCGCGGTGGATGGTGAGTCGCGGCGCGAGACATTTGATATTCTTGTCCCGTTCGGGGAAAATCACGCAGCCAGTCCAAGATATGGTTTCCGAGCTGGAAGGAAAAGAGTGCGAAATTCGAATCTTCACGTGCGACGTGTCTGATGTATCTCGACTACAATCGGTTGTTGAGGAGTGTTGCCAGACACTACCCCCAATTAAAGGATGTATCCAAGGTTCAATGGTCCTGAAGGCGAGTAATCCAAATAGTATTTCTTTGCTTTTGAAAGGAGATATCCAACCCGCAGAGAGTAGGGGACTATGAATAGATAAACGCTAACGGATTTGTAGGACTCACTCTTTGAAAACCTGTCGTATGCGGATTGGACAGCGGCAATCAAACCAAAAGCTCAAGGCTCCCAGAATCTCCATGATGTTTTGCCCAAGGACCTTGACTTTTTCGTCATGCTCTCCTCGCTTGCTGGGGTTATGGGAGGCCGCAGTCAGGCAAACTATGCCGCAGGTAACACATACCAGGACGCTCTTGCCAAACACCGCGTTTCGAACGGGCTACGAGCAGCAAGTTTCGACATCGGAGGGGTGCTGTCCGTTGGTTTCGTTGCTGAAAATCAACAGTATGCTCGAAATGCGACCAAGGCTATGATACCCATTCGGGAAGACGAAGTTCACGCAGTCGTGGAATATCTAATCGACCCACGACATGAATTGACCGAGAGTACATGCCAAGTAATCTTCGGCCTAGCCACAAAGAAGTCATCCCAAGAGCGAGGAATCCTCTCACCTGAATGTTTCAACTACCCCTTATTCACCATACTGCAGAAGACAAGTGGTTTCCAACAGCAAGGGTCGGAAGCGACAGATACCTATCGTGTCGACGCTCTACTCGGGGCTGCAAGAAGTAGAGAGGAGGCAGCCGAAATAGCACTGAACGGCATTCTAAACAAGCTCTCTTTACTTCTAAATGTTCCTGCTGATCAAATCGACACAGGCAAGTCGACTGTTTCCAATGGAGTTGATTCACTGATTGCAATTGAATTCCGGACCTGGCTAGCGAAAGAGGCCGGGACAGAGTTATCGCTCATTGATGTTACAGTTGGAAGCAGCATCAATGAATTGAGTCAGAAGGTCGCCTATTTGAGCCGCTTCGTCCAGGGCAATATCTCTGAGCCCAAGTGAGAGCTGGGTCCAGGTGCCGGGGCCGGCGAAAGGAGGGAGAGAAATCGCGTCATTCTAAGAAATTGAATTACCTACCCTGAGCCATTACCCCGACCAAAGCAATTTCTAGGGGTCCTTTGATGGAAGAATGGTGGTCAGATATAAATTGATTTGCTGGGAATTTCCTCTCCACTACATTTTTATGCTTCTTACACTTATTTTTTTTTTTTACGTTTTTACGTTTTTACGTTTTTACGCTTCTATATTTTAATGTATGCTCACAACAAATCACGTCGCAACGATTCAATGAACCCAGAATGATTATTTCCTTTTTGTTGATTTTACACTCTCTTGTTCCCATTGTCCGGGGAAACACAATTTTCAACTCCTTGAATGAACAGTTGTTTAGCTTGATAGCACGTGTTACTAGTACGAGAATGCAAGCAACCTATGTCAATCCATACAATGCAAGTGCCTCCAACTTATATGCAAAACCATTTGAGCTTTGGTTACGTTGTTCTGGTTTTTCTACACCTATGTCATCATTCCAACACGCCCATTATTGCATATCTGAAGGGGGGCATTGCCTCCTACTACGCCGTATGTCACCTATTGATCCTTGGCCGGGGCACTGAAGACACTATCAGGGGGCAAGCTGCCATCCCCAGGGCGAGAAGACTAGTATACAATAGGTCTAGTGCATCGACTTTGCCCACCCGAGGGTTAATGACTAAGTGAAAACCCTGCCTTTCTAGCGCCTTGGCTCAGATAAACAGCAGTTGAGTCAGCCAATCCAGCCCAACGGCAAGCCTCCAATTTGTCTGACAATCGGTGTCACGTGCTTCATCGTTCCCCCGATTCTCGCGCCGATGCGGATGCACACAAGCTCTCGATGACTGTCCAGCATCCTGACTATTGGGTAGAGCGCCAGGGTTTGCCTGTGAATAAATAACCTCGC